AACTCATTAAGTTTGTCAGGGCTTTGCTGGGTGTAACACCGAAAGTCTCACATGCCAGGAAGACCTCATCTCAGGTGAACTGGAGTGGCTGGTCACAAACAAGAGGTGATTATTTGTGACTAAATCATGGACCTTCTCATCTCTCTGTAGTTTTAAGTACCATTTGTATGGATGGCTGGTATATTTTGTTTCCTGCCTTGACATTTATTTTGAGCTTTGGATTAAAAATAAGTTTTGTGCCTTATTTTTAATGCGCTTTTAATATTCCTTACTGTGTAAATCAGAAGAAACTCAATATTAAATAATCTAAATATAAAAACTTCATCCACTCTGAAAAACTATTTCTCCTCCTGATCTCATTAAATAACACAGCCATTAAAGCAATTGCTAAACTTGAAACTCTGGAGATAGGCTTGGCACTTCCTTCTTATTCCTTTCATAAATCCATATTCCCTCCATCAACAGGCCTTTTGGATTTGATATCCAAAATGTGTTTGGATCTTGTACATTTTCACCATTTTTACTGCCATAATCTGAGACTAACCCAATGCCCATTTATTGCTCAGCCACTGCAAATAGCATCCATCCTCTTATTCTCTCCCATTCACCACTCCAACAAATTATCTATAAAATATTCAGAAAGATATGTATAAACATAAGTTAGATAACTTTACCTAACTGCCAAAAACTCTTCCCTAGAACTTAGACAAACTCTAATCTCCTCAAAGTTCTTTGCCAGTCCTTTCAAGACCTGACCCCTTTATACTTCTCTAATTATGACACCTCTCTATTCAGTCTACTCTTGTTCCAATCACCTGTCTTTCTTCTATTTTCATTAAAAGACATGGAAATGGAATTCTGCTCTGTCACCCAAGCTGAAGTGCAGGGCATAATCATAGCTCACCATAGCCTTGAACTCCTGGGCTCACGCTGGGTCCTCCTGCCTCAGCCTTTTGAGTAGCTGGGACTCCACGCATGTACCACACATTTGGCTGATTTTTAATTTTTTTTATGATAATAGTGTCTTGCTAGTTTGGCCAGGCTGGTCTTAAACTCCAAAGCTCAAGGAATTCTCCCACTTTGGCCTCCCAACGTGCTGGGATTACAGGCATGAATCACCATGCTAAGCCCTTGTCTTCTATTTTCTTGAAGCTGCAAAGTCCTTTCCTGCCCTGGGCATTTCCACATGACATTATTTTTGCTGTAAAACTATTTCTCTATGTGCTTTGGTTAGCTCTTAATCATTTATTTTATATATATTTATATATGTACCTATGTATTAGCAATAAATCCAAACATGAAATTAAGAAAGCAACTTCACATATGATAGTATTAAAAAGAATAAAATATTTACTAAAATTCAGGAAATCTCANGGTTTCACTCTGTCTCCCAGGCTGGAGTGCGGTGGTGTAGTCTTGGGTCACTGCAACTTCTGTCTCCCAGGCTCAAGTGATCCTTCCTACTCAGCCTCCTGAGTAGCTGGGATTACAGGTGTGAGCCACAATGCCGGGTTAGTTTTTGTATTTTTAGTAGAGAAAGTGTTTCACCGTGTTGCCCAGCTGGTCTCAAATTCTTGAGATCAAAGTGATTCACCCACCTCAGTCTCCCAAAGTGCTGGGATTATAGGCATTAGCCACCACAGCCAGCCAAATCAATCATTTTTAAGTTCTCATCTTACATATGACATTCACAGACAAGCATTCTCTCACAGTCTAAATTATATCTCCCTCCCTTTACTCTTTCATAGAAGCCTATTATTTTTATGCATTATGTTAATCACTATTTATCATTATAAGTTTTCGTTTTACTTTTTACAGAAGTACCTTTTGCTCCTATTATGCTGGAATGAGGATAAAAGTCACATTTCTTTTATCCATCATTATACCCAGTGGTTGGTACATTACATTACAGGCATTCCTTAAATATTTCTGAATTGTTGAACAGGAGAATTGTACTGCAGTTAGCGGCAAAATCTACCTTACATGTAGTATTTGTTTTTTTTCTTTCTTGCTTAGTATATATATATATCCTGAGTTTGTTTTATTAAGAGGGAGCTGAGAAGTTGCTGGAGAAGTTGACCACAGCAGAATTAGATTCTAGTTCTTTTCTTTATCCTCCTTGCAAGGAATATGAGATGATACTATAGTTTTAGTTTTCATGTAAAATTTATAATATGACCTTCATGTTGTGTTTTCCTTGCCATCAATAGACTATGAATTTGTCAGAAGTGACCCTTATGCATTCCATTTTATCCTCTATAATAGGTGAAAGGAGAAAGTCCAGGTAGGAAGTTGGTAGAGTGACTCACGAGGCCCATTGACTGTGATGCCACCTGAGAGAGTCTTGACATTGGAATGGCTGAGGATGTAGGAACAAAATTCTGCAACTTGTTCTATGAAATCAGGGTTTAGATCTTCCTCCTTCAACTGCTCCAAGTGGGCAAGGTACTTCCTCCGAGCGGGCCGATCGAAGATGAAGCACTTCCTCTTGGGGAAGAACTTTCGAATGCACAAACGAGGATCATTAAAGCTTTTACTTTTTTTATCAGTACCTACAGGAGTGAAAATTAGAGGTAATAAAACTTCATATTAATTACTTCGAATATAATCTTTCAATTTTATGATTTTCACAAAGCCCATGTAAGGAGGAAATTAATAAGGAAGGAAGAATAAACAATTAAAAAGGTAGAGAAAGGAAAGTCTCCAAGAAGAGATAGGTAATGCAATTTAAAGTTGGTTCCAACTGATATAGTCAAGCAATATGTCCATTTCCTTTGGCAGAACAGTCAAGAAAACACAGTTAAAAATTATAATGTTTAGTACTACACATAAATGGTGATTTTGATATTATCTGCTCTTTACATATTAACCCACCAACCATTAGACCCAGAAACCTTTTCTTAGCTTCAGCGAAAGCTCCAGGTAGTCATCGGGAGTGATGGGTTCTCCATCTGTTTCCAGCTCCAGGGAGAAATCTCTAAGAGTCCACACAAATGCTGGAAAAAAGCTCACAAAGTCAGCTGAGTCTTCTACATAAGTGTTATCAGGTGAGGAGTTTGCCTTGATTCGATCTGTCAGCTCTGTCACATAACTGAGACGCTAAGTTAAGAAAATTACAGAAAATGCCACTTTTTATACTACATTTTATCCTAATGCTTATCTAAAATAATTCAGTTTCTTTTGATTAGCTCATTGATTCACAAAAATTTATTTACAGAATTCATTCACTCACAAATACTTGTTGAGCACCTACTATGAAATAAGCACTGTCCCAGGGACTAAGAATACTGTAATGAATGAGACAATGCTACCATTATAGAGCTTACATTCTAATCATGGAAACAAACAATAAACAAGTAAATAAAAATATAATAAATTATCAGGTATTGATAACAATTGTCTTGAAGAAAAATAAACTGGGCAACTAGTTCCTAGTGTATTTTTAGAAACTAGCAACCAATAGACAGTTATCTAACATTCTGGTATCTCCCACATCTACCAATAAGGAAAGCAGAGAATAACCATGTGTATCTGCATGTGGTGCTGATTTATGTAGTTTTCCAGGTAAATTATCTCTGACATTGTAGTTGAGCAGTGATCTGAATGAATTGAAGGAGCCAGTCATATATAAATCCACTGGAGGAGCATTGCAGACAGAGATCACAGAGCCTGCAAGCCCCTAGATAGGAAATCACTGAGTGTGTCCAACATATATCAAGAAGTCCAGTGTGGTAGGGCAGAAGCCTTAAAATAAATAGAGGTAGGGATATGTAAGCTCTGTAAACCAAAGTAAGAAGTTTGAAATTGAATAAAAAGTTAATAGGAAGTCATTGGTGGGTTTTAAGTGAAGAGAGGACATAGTATGATTTTTTTTTTAACAAAAATCATACTGGCTGGCATTGTCTCTGTGAGTCAAATGCATATGCAAAACAAAACAAAACAAAAACAAAAAACAGTTAGGTAGTTGGAAAGATAACCAAGTTGAGAGGTATTGAAAACTTAGAGTTATCATGGAAGAAGTAGTGAGAATTGGCCAGTCTAGGAAAATAACTTTGATAGTGGAGCTGAAAGAATTTGATGATTAATAATTTCCAGGACATAAGGAAAGGAATCATCCGAGATGATTCCTAAGTTTTTGATCTGAGCACTTCTACGAATGATGTGGGAATTTATTGTGATTGGAAAGACTGGGAAGGAATGATTTTGGACAGAAAAATTAAGTTTTATTCTGTATATTTTAGGCCCAAGATGTATCTTACACATCTGAATGGAGATGATAAAAAAGTTTGAATTTGTTCATACTTGGAAATATAAATTTGATGGTGATTGACATATTGGTGCTACTGAAAACCTTGAGGCTGGATGTGATCATCTGGGAACTGGGAGTAGAAAGAGAAAAGAGGCACAAGAGCTTAAGATTTATAATATTTAGAGGCTAAAACTAGAAAGAGGATGCAGCAAAGTAATCTGAAAAAGTCCACCAATAAGAAAGGTGAAAAATTAGGGAACTATGGTATTCTAATAGGAACCAATTCCAAACAAAACAAGCATTTCAGAAAGGTGGAAGGGATCAAATTTATCAAATGCTCCTAGACAGAAAAAAAAGGCTTTTGGAAGACTGGAAGATCAAATGAGGTGAGAACTGTGCATTACATACATAAATACGATGGTGACTTTGATGAAATCTAATTCAGTGTAATGCTTGAAACTAAGCTAATGGAAATGGTGAGGTCATTGATAATGAACTAGGTTAGGTAATGTATGAGAGTGGAGAATAACAATGAGAGTTATTGGAGAGTTCCAATAAGGTGATAGAACTGAGACACCAGGGTATTAGATAATTGTCTATTGGTTGCTATTCTCTAAAAGGACACTAGGAGCTAAAATCTTTAGTAAATGAGGAATGTATTTACTGGAACGTTGCTAGATAATTGCAACAAAGAATGTGGCTTCGTCAAAGGGTATATGTATTAAAGAAGGTTCTCTTCCTAATGGTAAAGGAATGAGAAGGTGTCCATAACTCTAACATGGTAGAAGAAGGATACCTAACTCATCTCTTAGACTTATGATATGCAAGGTATGGTATAAAAAATAATTATCACATAAGACCACTGGAGAGGTCTGTAGCAGAAATAGTATCTATAGTGTATAGCTAGGTATCAGTTAGAAGGCAAAACTTGGAGAAGATGATAAGAATATAGAGAATTGCAAAAGTAAGACCGTGAGTTCTTGAGGACATTGAGGGTTTGGACAGGGATAGGAGATTAAGTCAGATAGATGATATACAGAGTCTTGGGTGGCTGAGCATCTAAGGATATATGTAACCAGGAAGACTTGAACTTCTGGTAGAGATTGAGATAGAATGAGATTTTCAGCATAATGAGATTTATTAAAGATGGGACTTACGAATTCTTCAGTACCTGTTTGCCTCTGTGCCTGGTGAAAAAATGAAGCTGTTATTTTCTAGGTTTAATGCTGTTCTGGACCACAAAAAAAAAAGATACTGCAATTGGTCCATGGCCTGCTGGTTGATGGTTCCCATGCTATTGTACACGAAGGTGCTGCTCAGGAGGATGGCCAGGGCAAAGATCCAGGAGTCATTCTCATTGTCACCCTGTAAGTTATTGTAGAAGCCACACAGAACAGTGACTAACAGAATGAACAATCAATTCAGATAGCTGAAGACTGACTGAACTCCAACCCTGTCTCTTACTAGCTGTGAAAACTTAGGTAACTCACTTCTTTATGCAGTATTTTTCCATCTGTAGAGCAAATTTATAGTGTTCATGATGTATACTTTAAGGTATTATATATAAATGTATATGTTAGTGGAAAACATGTGAGCACTTGGTATTAGAAGCTATTTTGATCAGCTACTAGAATTCAAACTGGTATCCTAAACTTAGTTTATGGCTCTATTCCATTTCCATGGCACATCATGGTAAGAAATTTTTTACACAGTAGTTAAAATAGGCTCCTTCAATAACAGCTTTCTATGTCTAAGATTTATAAAAGTAGTAATACATTATCCTTAATGAACAAAGATGTTATCATTAGATGTTACACTTTGCTTCTCTTTCTACTGGTGCTGCTGTAGATGTGAAAATTTTTACCACCTTTATGGGTTCCCACTGTAAAAAGTCAGACATGTTTTTAAAATGTCTACTGAAGTTTATAAGCACCTTCAGCAGCCTTACCAAAACATTTCACTATAATATGAAAGAAAAATGACTGAAAACATTATTAGCCATGATTTGATAGGTTTACCAAAATTAATCAATTGAACTTACTGTATACTCTAAATGCTTACACCACATCAATTAAAAAAAAAGAATATATTAATATAATTAACTAGAGTCCTAAATCAAGGAGTAGGAGTGATAGTGTAAAGAGGTTATTGATCTGACCTTGTTTATGTAGATTTTAATCTACCTAAGTGAAATTTTAAAAATATTTATCTTCTTACCTTCTCTATATCTCCAAGGCCCTCAGTGTCGAGCAGAACTAGGGTGTGTCCTGGCTTCTTGGGATGCGGCACGCACCACATCCAGATTCCTTTGGTGTGAGATTTCACTGTGGAGCCCAGAGGGAAGCCTGCAAAGGAGAGGATAAAAGGGAGAAGAGATTAATTAGTAGGCGTTTCTGGAAATTGAGATAAAAGTTAACATAATCAAAGGTAAAAGAGATAAAAGAAAATACAACCGGCATAAATCTTAATTACAATCCAGTAAATAGGAAAGTTGTATATCTAACAGACACTGAAACATTCATTTTTCCTTAAAGTTCATTGAAAGCTTGCTGTCACTACATAAACATTTTAATAAATGTTTTATAAGTATTATTATGGAAGTTAACTTTATTTATTTATGTATTCCTTCCAGAAAGGCACATTTATACTCTCAGTTGGGAAAATAAAAGTAAAGTGGGAAGAAGGAGTCAGCTGACTATAATCCTCTGAAGTCAATGTAAAGAGCCCATTAATGGATTAAAAGTTAGCTTTCAATATTCATTCTCATCTCTAACTTTCTGTTCTCACATTCCAAGGCTGGATGATCGCAGTGTGTATGGGCAGGAGGGACTTGGCAAAGCTTTGCTGGTGTCACTCACCCTTGTTCTTCCCAGCCAGCCTGTTCATCAGGTAGGATTTGCCTGTGCGGTAGAGGCCCACAATCGCCACCACCACCACAGGCTGCGTAATTGCAGACAGGATCTTCAGAGCTTCTGGATTCACCACCAGTTGCCCTTCGGCGTTGTCAATGAGGCTCACTGGGCCTGCCATGTGAATCTCTGGAGCCATGTCCAGGGTGGTGTTCCCTTCTGTGCCAGGAAAAAGATGAAATGGAAAGCAATTTCTAGGTAGCTAGCCATGCTGAGCTTTACAATATGGGTTACATTTTTGATTTCTATGCTTGAACTTTTTCTCATATACATTTTTTAAAGCCCTATTTCTCTTTAAGGCTGTCCTACAAATTGGTCCATTGGCTTTCTTTAAAAATAACTTTATTTTGAAATAGACTTATAGAAAAGATGTACAATGGGTATGAAAAGTTCCCATATATCATTTCCTGTAATGCTAAAATTTTATATAACCATTGAACAAGGATTTTAACATTAATAAAATGATAATTAACCTACACTCCTTATTCACATTTCACCGGTTTCCAACTATGTCATTCTGCTCCATGATCAGTCCAGGACTGTTCATTGCATTTAGTCATTATGTTTCTGTATTTTCTTTGCATCTTTGATAGCTTCTATTCTTTCTTTGTCTTTCATGTCTTTGACAGTTTAGAAGTTGACCGGCCTGTGATTTTGTATTCATCCCTCAATTTTTTTGATGTTTCTTTATTACTAGATTGAAGTTATGCATTTTATTTTGCAAATGTCACTGAAGTGATGTTCTGCCATTTTCAGTGTCTCCTATTAAGGGATTCATGGTGTTCACATGACTTTTTCTAATGCTGTGACCTTAATTTTGATCATTTGGTTAAGGTGGTCTCTGCCAGATTTCTCCACCACAAAGTGTTATGTACCATTTTGTCACTAAAAAAACACCATTTGGAGAGACACTTTGAAGACTATGCAAATAAAGTTTCATCATACTTTCATAATTTTTCAGTCACTGTTTTTAGCATCTATTGATAATTCTTGCTTATAACTTACTGTTGTGTTTGATTGAAGGTAATTTTCTATTCTCATCATTCCTTCTATATTTATTAGAGTTTTAATGTGAGCAAGAACTGCCTTTTCTCCTTCATTTGTTTTATTTACTTATTTAATCATTTAGTTGTATCAGTGTAGACCTACAGATATTTATCTTATCACCCGGGTAACACTTGACTATCATTATTTATCTCAGTGCTCAACTCGTCCCAGATTAGTTCACTGAGAGCTCCTTCAAGCTAGAGCCCAAATTCTTTGGATATGCTTCCATCATATTTTCACTGCTTCTTTCCTTCTGGCAGGCTTATCTAATATCTGCTTCAGTCTTAGAATTGACCATTTCTCCCAAAGGCTCTGGTTGCTTTCATTGGATACTGGTACATAGACACCAAGATATCACACTAGGTGTAGTCATTACTTCTAGTCATTACTTTCTCACAGGGAAAATTAAGGAATCTATGTTTGTATACTAGCACATGAATACAAACATCTACATTTATTTCTTATCTGTACATTTCTATATATAAGCTTGTTTCTTTTGATACTTCTAATTCCAATTCAACAAAACAAAATTTATTCATACTTTCCCTCCTTGTTTTTAAAACCTTTTCTCTGAGTATGTCATTACATATAATAATTTGCTCAATTCTACTATATACAATTAAAGTTACTAACTCATAAGTCTTTGTAAGATAAATTTGCTAACTAGAGTGCACTATTAGTTAACAGTTCTTTTTGTCTTTGGTCTTACACATACAGTCAAAATACTGTATTCCAAAGTTGCTTAGACTACCTTTTCCTTCTCTATTCTCTTTGGTGTGGTTAACTCATTTATCTGTAATATAGTTAGGTTTGTTTGTTGGTTGATTTTAAGTATGTATGTATTTATTCTGAGTATGTAAAATATCACAGTTATGAAAGTCAGAGCTTTGCAACAAGCTGTAGTCAGAGAAGTGTCACTGTTCCTTCATCTTAGCACTGCATTCCCATTCCAGCTGTCTTTATTAATTCTTTCCACCTCATGGCCACCCATCCTCCACAGATGCTCAATCTTGTTAGTTTATAGTTTACCTTTCTTGGACATTCTTTTCATTAATGAGCATATACATGTATGTTTTTTATTCACGTTTTCTAACATAAAGATCACATCATGTGGAAATATGGAAATCTCTCCATACCAGTTCATAGGAAGATTTCTCAGTTCCTTTTACAGGCATCTATTCCATTTATGTGAACATACCACAGTTTATTCAACCATTCTTTTATGTATCATAAAAGACATTTAGATTGTTTCAGATATTTAGCAATTACAAACAATGCTGCAATGAAAACCTCTGCTAACCTTGTGAGAGTGTATTTTTACATTGCTATAGGAGTTACTTTAGGATAGTGTCCTATAAGTGAGATTGCTGGATCAAAAAAAAGAGCATTTTATTCCGTTAGTTATTGCCAAGTTCTTCTCCAGAAGGATGTACCAGGTTGAATTCCCACCAGATCTTGTATCTCATTGTTCAGAAAATGAATTTTTTTCTAGGTATGTCACATTTTCTGACTTAATTACAAAATTTCCTTTGGTAACTTTTCACATTCACGTTTAGATCTTTGGACTGATCTCGCTGAGCTCCTGCATATAGTAATGGGAACCTTCACCTGAGGAATCTTCTAGCGCACATATCTCCATACTTTGAAACATAGACACCATTCTCACCTAGCCTTGGTCTGGATTTCTTCCAAGCCGTTCTGTGGACAGGGCCTGGTCATATTGTGGGACTCAGGTTACCCAATGGCTTCTTCCTCTCACTATGCAGGAAGCCCCTTGAGTTACCATAGCCCATCACTGGTTCTTGATATTTGCTGTGAATCAGCATTTACCTGTTAGTCACTCAAGCTTGATATCTCGCATCTGACATATAGAAAATCAACAGATTTTGTTACCAGAGTTTGACCTTTCTGTGCTTTATGATTCATTGGCTATTACTTGCATGTATGTCAGTTTGCATATTGCTTTCAATTATTTCAGGTAATGAAGCCAGCATCAGGAAACATTGCCTGATGAACCAGGGCTTGTTTTTGGTGTGACTTCTGCTTCACGTACAGCAGTATATACACAATTGTAGGCATATCCTGTTTAACCAGGCCTTGATAATTTGATAATTTACTAAAGAATAGAAACATATTCTCTCATAGTTCTGGTGGCTGGGAAGTCCAATCTCAAAGTGTTAACAGGTTTGGTGTCTCGGGAGAGCCTGGTCTCTACTTCCAAGACGGTGCCTTGGAGCCTTGATCCTCCAGAGTGACTCACTCACAGAGGCTCTTTTTATAGTCACTAATCTCTTCATGAGTGCTCT